GTAAAATTCCCTGCTTTTCTTCATACGAACTACTAAGACAGGCCTCCATGTCTTACCAGTACAGTTTAAAAAGAAATCAACAATTGTAGGATGATACTTCTATCTCTATAAACTTCATTATATTGGTTTCAGCTCAGCATTTTGTCCTATCAATTTCAATTTGGAAACCTAAGTTTATTATATTGATTCCCAAATGTGGCCTATTGGCAACAGAATCACTTTGTGTGCATAAAAAACTTAAAAATTCCGGGGCCCACTTCAGAGATTCTGATTCACCAGGTGTAAGGTAAGCCAAAGAAGGCTACATTTAACAAGCCTCGAGTAATCCCCAGACAGCATACTTGGGAATCACTGTTCTTTCATGTCCATTAATCGAAAAAACCGAAAACAGGTGTTCAAACAAATACACATAGATGAATGTTCACAGCAGCGCTATTCACAACTGCAAAAAGGTGGAAACAGCCTGAATGTCCACTGACAGACAAATAAGCAAATTGTTGCATATACATACAATGGAACATTACTCAGCCATAAAAAGAAATGAAGTACTGATACATGCTATACATGGATGAACCTTGAAAACATTACGTTAAGTGAAGAAGCCAGGCACAAAATGTCATATATCGTAGGATTCCATTTATATGAATTATCAAGGGTAGGTAAATCCACAGAGACAGAACACAGATTGGTAGCTGCTAGGGTTTGGGGAAAGAGATAATGGGGAGCAGATGCTTAATGGATATGGAGTTTCTTTGGGGGAGATAAAGAGGTTTTTCTCAGTGGATAAAGATGGTAGTTACACAACATTGTGAGTATACTAAATGCCACTCAATTGTTCTATCTATCTATCTATCTATCTATCTATCTATCTATTTTTGCTGAGGAAGATTCACCCTGAGCTAACATCCGTTGCCAACCTTCCTCTTTTTTTTTTTTTAAAGATTTTATTCTTTTCCTTTTTCTCCCCAAAGCTCCCCAGTACATAGTTGTATATTCTTCGTTGTGGGTCCTTCTAGTTGTGGCATATGGGACGCTGCCTCAACGTGGTCTGATGAGCAGTGCCATGTCCGCGCCCAGGATTCGAACCAACGAAACACTGGGCCGCCTGCAGCAGAGTGCGTGAACTTAATCACTCGGCCATGGGGCCAGCCCCAACCTTCCTCTTTTTTTAAATATTAATTAATTTATTTATTTTTGGTGAGGAAGATTGTCCCTGAGCTAACACCCGTGCCAATCTTCCTCTACTTTATATGTAAGGTGCTGCCTTACACACCTTACACATCACACACAGCATGGCGTGATGAGTGGTGTGTAGGTCCACTCCTGGGATGAAAACCCACTAAACCCAGGCTGCCAAAGTGGAGGGTGTGAATTTAACCACTATGCCACCGGACCGACCCCTAAGTGATCTATTTCTGTAAATGAAGTTTTATTGGAATACAGCCTTGCCCATTTGTTTATGTTGTCTATGGCTGCTTTCAGGCTACAATGGCAGATTTGAGAGGTTGTGACAGAGAACATATGGCCTGCAAGCCTAAAATATTTACTATCTGGTCTTTTAAGAAACAGTTTACTGACCCTGTATAGAATACACTATCTTCAGGGCCAAACGAGGTTCACACTGAAGCAAAGACTCAAATGGAAAAGGCAAGAAAAAACAGCAAGCCCATAGTCACAGTGCCCCATGTGAAGAGTTTCTGGAATATTCGAATCTTAAACTGAAGAACTGAGTGGACAATGGTTAGGTGTTTGCAAATTTAGTGAGAAGAACATCAGTGAACACTGAGATCTGTAACAGGGAGGTATTTAGCCGAAATCTGGCTGGCTATAAAAATATTTACTAAAACTTTGGGAGAAAGCTTTTACTTTCTCCAAGTCTAAAATTCTCATTAAACACACTGCTTTGGAAGAGTAGGTAGGATTTTCTGTGCACCAGCTGAACTCTAGGAGAGTTAAAATGTAGAAGTTGAACTAGAAATACCTTCCTTTTATGAGTGATGAATCATAACATCTTTTTAAAAAAGAATTAGCAATTAGCTCAAAGGGCGGCAAGGCAGAAAACTTTCAGACTTCGCTTTCATCTTCACTGCTAAACTTCAAAGAATAGCTTAAAATAATCAGAAATCTACACTTTCCCCTTTAAAAATGTTTTCATAAGAAATTGTATCTTCAGACTAAATTTAAAGTCTTTGAAAGCAAGGATCTAAGTGTGTATGAATTTGGTGTAAGAATTTCAAGAGTTTTTCAAAGTATGATCAGATTAAAGAATTTTCAGGAAAACGGTAAAGAGGGCCACAATTTCTCTCCAATAAAATTCTCTCTACTCCACACTGCCTTTCCCCTTATACAGATATCAACAGTTACAGTGCCAAGTTAAGTAGAGGTATGGAACTAGTAGGAAGGGACTTAGGTCTTTATTTCAATTTTGGAGCTCATAAAGTCTTTCCAAAAGTAACTTTCTCTTAAATTGGTTCAGTCTGGGCATTGCTTTACATCTGTGATGTGGAGGATGCTCCAAGGACAAGAAAATCTCCTATGTTTTTTGCCAATCAATAGTCTCTGGCTAAATTTACATTGTCCTAGGCTCTTAAGAGCCCAGACTCTGGGGAAGTGGGTCACAGTTACGTGGTGATTTGTATAAGACGACAATATGTTGCTCGGTCTCACTATTTGCAGGTATTCTGCAAAGGCCTTTAAAGCATGGAATAGCACAGATAGTGTATTACTGCTTAAATTCTGGAAGGGTTGTCTTATACTCATAGTGATGAGCAAACAGACCCTATAGTTCCCTGTAGGTGTGATCACATTTATCCTCTTTCTACTTATTGCCAGATTTCTCTAACAAGTGGTCTACAACTGCTCATTTTATTACCTCTGCATTTTCTCTCCATTCACTTTTCTTTTATCTATTTAATGAACAACAGCACTAGAGGAGTCTTAAATAGTTTGAATTTACAGCCAAACTAACATAGTTTGGTTACAATACTCATCAGTTCAGGAGGGGAAGCTGTTGAAAACTGTCCAAGTTGGGAATTATCATAATCGCAGAATGGAGAGTCAAGGGAATGACCGAATCTGGGGCCCGGTGAGGACACTGAAGACAGCTGACAACAGGGTCCACAGTGGGCAGGGTCACAAGTGAAATCTAATATCCACATGGCTTGCTCCCTTTCTTCCTTCAGGTTTTTAGCCACATGTCACTTTCTCAGTGAGGCTTTCCCTGATGATCCCTTTAAATCTGAACCTTACCCTACCACCCTGACATTTTCTACTCCCCTTCCTTGATTTACTTTCTTCCATGGCACTTATCACCCTTTCACAAGCTATATGTTTTACTTACTTAAGTTGTTTATTGTTTCTCTCCCACTAAAATGTAAGCTCTGTAAAGGAAGGGGTTTTTAGTCCATTCTGTTCACTGCTATATCAGCAACACCCAGAATGGTGCCTAGAATATACCAGACATTCAATAAACATTTGCTGAATTACTGAATTTCAATTTCAAAGTGAATAAACAAGCAAATTGTAGCTTAGCCAATCTTTTTAAGTTTATGTCCAACTAACTTGTTTGATGCAGTTTTTAAATAAAGTAGGCACAGGCTTTCCTGCCAAAGAAAAATATGCTTTTCTATGATAATATATAATCTTAGTATCATGAAACAGTACAGACCTCAAGAAGCAACTGCATCTTTTATCTATTTACTTTTAAAATAAATGGCTTAATATCCAGTATGCTGCTATTTCTAAAGAGCAACCTCAAAATATTACAATAGATTATCATCAATAGCTCCATCAAGGAAGTCAAATCATTTACTTACTTAGAGGTACATTTTTCAGTTTACTCAGCTTGGCAGTCCAGGAATTAGAGCTAGTCAATTTATATGGACTAGCACATTGGTTCCCAATCTTGGGAAGCTTTTAAAAATCAAATTCCTGGGCCGGCCCTGTGGTGTAGTGATTAAGTTCACACACTCCAATTTGGCGGCTCAGGGTCCACAGGTTCAGATCCCAGGTGTGGACCTACACACTGCTCATCAAGCCATACTGTGGTAGTGTCCTACATACAAAATAGAGGAAGATTGCCACTGATGTTAGCTCAGGGACAATCTTCCTCAAGGAAAAAGAGGAAGATTGGCAACAGATGTTAGCTCAGGGTCAATCTTCCTTATCAAAAAAAAAAAAAGGCAGTCATCCCAAATCCTCCTCCTCCCGCCTAAAAAAAAAAATCAAATTCCTGACACCCCTCCTCCCCATACTAAACCTGTTAAATTAGTAGCTCATATGGTGGGGCCCAGGAATCTGTCTATTTAAAACATTCTCCAGCTGATTCTGCTATATTGCCAAGTTCAGAACCTACCATTTAGAAGAGGCATCCCAAGGATCCTCTTATATGGTCAAGGTGACTGAATGATAATACCTGTATACTTAAAGCTTTTCCAGTTCAAAATAATTTCTTTCATGCCCTACAATGCCAAATTTCAGAGATACAAAGTCTGAACTTTTTGACAGACCACAATGGTAGATTTGTAACTATGATTAACATTCTTTCTCTAAAGATAATTTTCTAAACATAAAAATTAGTTATGGCCATAACTCAGTGTCCTAATGATAAAATTAGTTATCTTTTGTTTTTTATACTTAACAATGAAAATTGTGATAAAGTTATAATTCAAGAAATCTGGAAAGGATAAAAGAGAAACTTTTCTGGGGCTGGCCCCGTGGCCGAATGGTTAAGTTCGCGCGCTCCGCTGCAGGCAGCCCACTGTTTCGTTGGTTCAAATCCTGGGTGCGGACATGGTACTGCTCATCAAACCACGCTGAGGCAGCGTCCCACGTGCCACAACTAGAAGGACCCACAACGAAGAATACACAACTATGTACTGGGGGGCTTTGGGGAGAAAAAGGAAAAAAAAAAAATCTTTAAAAAAAAAAAAAGAGAAACTTTTCTAAAGGAATAAGTTTCTTGGATAAGATACTACTCACAAATGAGGTTTACAATTTACCTTCTCATGGGCCGAGTTTTGAGATTCTTCAAGCATGCACATCCATCTATTTGATGATCCTGGGCCTTATCAAAAGCTGAAAATAATCAGTGAAGGAGTAATGTTGATCAAACAAAATTAATGAGATAAATTATGTGAAAAGATCCTTGGATTTCTCTAACCAACTAACAGATTACGTAATAAAATGATGTATTACGGTAGCAGTGATGAGAATCTAAAAATCTAGAGAGAAATATTTAATATAAAAACATTACTACCTTAATTTTTAAGGTTCCTATTTTTTCTTTTCTTTTTTTTTAAGTAAATGGCTATACTAAAAATCCAATTAAAATGTATTAAGTTGAAAAGGTGCTAACAGAAAAGCAAAATAATGTAGAATAAAGAAGAAAAAAAGCATTATTACCTATATTATGATCCGTATTCTTTTATATGGAACTAGACATTTTTATAACACTAGTTTTTGCTTTTAGCTGAACTTTATAAAAATACCTTGAATTGCTATATCTGGATCCCAGCCTTCAACATCAATAAGGTACCTAAATAAAAATACCATTTCAATTTTACAGGATAAATAAGGCCAAATTTTGAAATTTTCTTCTCAAGAATACAAACTTGAAAACATAGCACCTATATCATTCTTACCTACATATAAGACATCCTGTTCTGTTAATTTCATTAGTACAATGAACTCCAATAAGTTTATCTATAAAATGCAAGGAAACATTAAAAAGCATGAAAAGATAATTAAGATAAGAATAGTACAAGAAAAGAACATTTTACACACAATTTATAATATAATAATTTTCAATTAAAATATCTACCACTGGCAGAATTCTTAAATTTCAATCTAATATGTTAAAGGGACACTATCAAAGATTCAGGAAAAAAATCGGCTTTCTGTATTGACCCTATAGTATTAAAGGTGAATTTTTTAAGTTAATCAAATAAAAGACAAAGTTTATATCATATTCATGAATAACATGCTTCAAACATTATTCAGAAAGAAATAATTTTAAGCTTATTTCTTTGATCTTAATTGCCCTTGCATTCAGTGAAATGTACTAACACTTTCTGGTTACTGGAAATGTCTCTGACACCATTTCTCCTCTGAGGCACCTTATCTGATATACAGTTGAAGAACTAAAAGTAAGATGAGTCTACCCACCTGTGTGGATGGGCCAGGAACGTTTTTATTCATGGCCAAGGTGGCCTATCTTAGAGAGTTCCCCTACCCATGAGGTAAAGTTTGAACACTTCCCTAGAGAAGACGGGTTTTGAGAGGCACATTCATCTCCTGGTTATCATTTCTGGGGAAATTTTTCATTAAGATTCATGCTCTAGTTTTTTCTTCACTGGTGTTTACCTTACATTCATCTGTCCTATCCTCCTAGTCCCCAGAGCTCCTCTCAAGAGTTCATTTGCACCTCTCTACAGGACCATGTGTGAAGATTTAGGAAGCATTTGTTTAGTGTCTGCTAGGATACTGTTTTCAAGTGACAAAAAGTTAATACCCACATTTCCAGATCTTTCAATTACTTTCAAATACCATAAATTTCTGTGTGAACATATCTCTTATATTATATGTTTATTAGAGATTTTAGACACCTGTTTTCATTACCTATTTTGTAGCTTGGTTGGGATCTCCCCAGCTTTGCAGTTGCCGAAAGCAGGACAGAATCTTAAGAAACAGTAGTTGTCAAGGATTTGAAGAGAAAAAACAAAGAAATAAAAAAAACAAGACAGCTAGAATGCTGAAAAACATTTAGACAGGTAAAAGAAAAGTGAGGAAAACATTATCATAGAAGCCAAGAGAAAAGCTTTAAAGAAGGAATGAACAACAGAGGTTAAACTTAGAGATTCAAGCAAGATAGAAATGGAAAACTATTCTTTGAATTTCTACAGCCCTCTAATTGAACAACAGTTGGAATAAGAATCTTTTTAGTGAATGAGAATGGAAGAAATAGGAACAAGTGGAGACAACTCTTCTGAAAGTGTAATCAGGAAAGGAAGGAAACAGAGAGAGAAAGAATTAAGGTTGCAAGATGGAGAAGAGCGTATTATTTTAAGAGACAGGAGAGGCCTGTGCCTGTTTATATGTTGATATTATAGAAGTGAGAATACCTGAAAAACTTCTTAGAGAAGACAGGATTGGAGATAATATCCAGCAGAGAGAGAGAATTGGTCTGTATTTCTTAGGAAAGCAGAGGAAAGGAAGAATACGCAAATATGGATACAAATAAGTGAGACACGGACATCATACCTGATGTCCTCTATTTTCACTGAGAAGTGGGAAGCAATGTTACTGCTGACAGTGAGGAAGATGAATGTGGCGTAGGGGCAAGATTTGGAAGCAGAAGAGCGAGCTGACCAGGAACAAGGAGAAGACTGCTAATCAGCATTGAGAACCTAGTTGAAACCCTTACCATCAGTCTGTTGTGGCAGCCATCCATACTGTGGAGGTATTTTTTCTAAAATGCAAGAGAAGAGAAGGAGGACTGTTGGATTAAGCCAGGGTTGAGTATTTGCACTGAAGTTTAGAGAATAATTCTTAAAGATCTATTGGTGACTAACTTTTGGGATGGGATTAAAAAGGGATGTGGATCTTTTCAGCCCAAATATGAATTTTTTCTTTTTACAGATTTTTTTTTTCTCCACTTGGTTTTTCAAATTAAGAAGCTAAGATCACATCAATGTTCTAGTCCCCAGTGCATCACAAGCTTTTTGTATCATAGACTAAAATGTAACTTTATATTGCTCAACAGAAGACAGTAGGAACAATGTTCGGATTCATTAAATCTGTCTTCCTAAGATAAATAGTTGAACTAACAGCAATTAGTACCCCCTCCCCTCTGCCTAATCTTTGGAGGAAATAAGCTTATAAAGCTTTTTTGACTTTCTGGAACAGATACTGTAAAAACTAGAATCCCTGGGTCCAGAATAAGAGTGCTGCCGTTGGCATAATAACCAGCCTGAAACCCTGAAACCAGTTCTACTACTCAGGCTCTTTCTGAACAGCTGGTTAAAGAGGAGTCATTAGCAATAAATCTGAAATAAGCCACTTCCCCAAGAAGTAAGCTTGGTCTCCTGAAATTCTTCTTCCCTAAGGCCAGGAGACTAGGTAGGTGATACCAATTTCATCTTTTTCTTTCTGTTCATTCATCCAAAAAATGGGTTTCTTGTCCTTTTACATTTCTGGGTGTAAAAAAATTGCTTAATTCAGGAGACTCATGCAGGTACATAAGGGAGAATTGGTATCTGTTGTAATTATTGAGCCCATGTAATTCGTTCTGTAGCAAGCAGGTATAGGGAAAGGAGAAGGAGAGAGACGTTAAGACAGCTAAAGGAGTTGGGAAAGAAGAGCTGATTTTATCAGCCAGTGGGCCAGGCAGGGTATAGGACATGAAAGAAACCCAGAGGGACTGACAGACTGGGAGAGAAAGGAAGGGGTCCAAAGAGATTTAGATCTAGCAGGAGTAAGAGAATGAGAAATTATAAGAGTGCAGGTGGCAGTCAGAGAAATCTACACTAGAGATAGTCTGTCCATAAGCAGCATTTGTTAGCCACTGAGATTAATTCTGGGTACACTCTAGTTTACTAGGTTTGAAGTTTAGTAGCTCTAATGACCCAGATAAAAGAGGAAATCAGTAGAGTGAAGACATAGATGTGGCCGGATTACCTCTGAAGTATTCTGATCTATTGTGAAGCCTCTACCAGAGATGAAGGTAAGTCATTGACCATTAAGCAATAAAAACATTTGAATAACACTGTTTTTTTAAAAAAAGCTTTTAAAATTATGACAGTAATACTTATTCATTGAAAAAAACCCTTAAACCATAGAAAGTATAAATAAGAAAACAAAAATCACAGGTAATCAGATACCAATATTAATATTCTGATGTTTATCCTTTCGGATGTGCTTGTACATGTTATTTATAAATAAAATTATGCAATGATATTGTCATTTAAAAATGTCTCACAAGCAGGCTGGCCCCATGGCCCAGTGGTTAAGTTCACACATTCCACTTTGGTGGCCCAGAATTCGCCGGTTTGGATCCTGGGCACGGACATGGCCCCATCAGGCCATCATCATCAGACCATGCTGAGGCGGTGTCCCACACAGCATAACCAGAGACACCCACAACCAGAATAAACAACTATGTACTGGGGGGCTTTGGGGAGAAGAAAAAAAAAAGAAAGAAGAAGATCGGCAACAGATATTAGCTCAGGTACCAATCTTTAAAAAAAAACAAACTACTACCAGATCTTGAAAGCCCAAGCAATGTTTCTTTCGACTCCTTGGTTCGCTGAGCCTGCAGCACACTACATCATGTTTAAGTGGTCTACAATAATTTCTACTGAAATAATCTTTATCACTTAAGCAAAAACATTTTTATTATATTAAAGACTGTTAATTACCATTTTCTGCATTTTCCCAATGGAACTTTCTGACCCACTTTTTGAACTGCAGAATAGTAGCATTATTAGGGACTTCAAGTCCAACAGTGTAAAGTTTTTTTTATAATGAATACTCTTAGGCAAATCCTAGAAACAAAGGAAAATAGAATGTAACAATCATACATTATTGAAAACAAATTCCTCAACCCAATAAAACTCACAATTAGGTGTTTCTTTTGCTGAGGAAGATCTGCCCTGAGCTAACATCTGTGCCAATCTTCCTCTACTTTGTATGTGGGTCACCACAGCATGGCGGCCCATGAGTGGTGTAGGTCTGCACCCAGGAACCAAACCCGGGCCACCAAAGTGGAGGGTGCTGAACTTAACCACTAGGCCATGGGGCCAGCCCCCACAATTCAGTATTTTTTAAATTAGGTACAATGATTATATCAAAGCCACACTTTAGATCAATTTGTGTAGAACTCTTTTGCAGTCTACATGAAAGCAGCTATAAAATAAGCCCAATTCCTAGCAGCCAATGATAGTCATGAGTTAAGGAATCAAGTGATTAAGCAGACACAGGATCAACCTAATATACAAGCTTAAAGTGTTAACTCCACAGTTGGTGTTGAGGATTCTAGGTGTCAATTAGGGCTATGTTTAGTAAGCCTGTTTTAAAGTGGTTACATGTTTCCCTAACGGATTCTAAAATTTGCAAGAGAGTCTAAAGTGGGAGGTTCTAAGAACAAAAGGACTAATCTCATCATTTAAGTAAAACCAATTAATCAATTAACAACATTCAATTAAAGAATGCCAAGGTGGCATTTAAGCCTAAATGCCTAAGAACAGATCCCAGGAGCAGATAATATATTAGGAAAAATAAGGATAATGACCCTTGAACAATTATATGATGAACAAAACGACTGGTTATATATGTGGCAGTTCAGTAGTGGCTGTAAATGCGAGGCCTTGAAGAGGAGATAATTGTTGGACAAGGACGGAGAGAAAAAAATTCCAAGTTTATGGAACAATTTGAGGCACAGAATCAAGAATGAGTATAAAATGTTCCTGAGATATACCTAACTAGAGGAGATGGTATGTTGTAAGGGACTGAGAAGAGCAAGGTGAGAAGGGGGCCAGATTAAACTGGACCTTGAAAGATAGGGAGAGGAGTTTACATGTGATACTTTAACGGCAGACGAAGTGAAGAGACGGCAGAGAGAAGTGAAGAATTTTTTTAGGAAGGAAATGGAATTGGCATGAAAATTATGTTTAAGGACAACTAATCAAACAATAAAAAAAGAGCAGCTGTTGAATAAACAGGTAAAAGACCTGGAGACTTCACGACACATGTCAGAAGAAAAAATCTACAGGTTTTAGCCTTTGACCTGATGTAGGATACCAGGAAGACAGAGAACTCAAGGAATTTGAACGTGATTGACAGGCTAAGTATTGGTGCTTTCAGGAGAAATAGGGAAATTGGAGAGATTGCTAATTTGTATTTCTGGGAAGGCGTGGTATGGAAGCAAAGAAATGATGGTATGTTTAGTTTCGTGTATGTTGAAATATGAAATGGCAGCAAGGTATCCAAGACAAAATGTCTCCTAATTAGGGCAGGAATGACAGATGACATCTTTGATGGCAACAATCCAATTGAAAAGCAAGGTCCAAGAGTTCTTTTCCTCTAGAGCAAGGTTTTAAAACTCTTGCTCTCGGTGCCGGCCCAGTGGCGCAGCGGCTAACTTCACACACTCCGCTTCTCAGCAGCCCGGGGTTCGCCAGTTTGGATCCCGGGTGTGGACATGGCGCCCCTTGGCACTCCATGCTGTGGTAGGCGTCCCACATATAAAGTAGAGGAAGATGGGCACGGATGTTAGCTCAGGGCCAGGCTTCCTCAGCAAAAAGAGGAGGATTGGCAGTAGTTAGCTCAGGGCTAATCTTCCTCAAAAAACAAACAAACAAAAAAACTCTTGCTCTCCAAAGTCCTACTGTCCCTAAGATTGGAGATGGGGAGGGGAGGACTGGTGAATGATGATGAGGCCTAGTGTATCCTTAATCTCCTGCTCCAACCAGCACAACTCCCTGTTTATTTTCTTTACATAACGGGCTTCAGAGCAAGATTTAGTTGAAAGGATTTTGCTGCTAAAGAAAGTTCAAAAAACACTGTTGTAGAGTAATACCTATCTCGCATTTTTCCTTTTCTTTATCCTTTTCTCTTTTGCTCTCTTTTCTATCTATTGCTGTTTTTCCCTCTTTATTTTGTTGCCTTGCTCCCCTTTTTCTTTTCTTTTCTATTTCCATCTACATTTCTTTCTTTTAGTTATTTTGTCCTCTTAAAAGAACAAAATTCTGTTTTTTTCCCTCTCTGTACAATCCATGATTTCAGAAAAACGATACTGTATGATTGTGTGAAGGATTAAGAAGATCTCTAGATCACACATGGGAAATTCTGAAATTTATATTAAAATAACCAAGAGAGTATCTCAATTCACCTTCCAAATGCAGTATTAAAAAATCTTTTCTATTATAAGACCTATCCATGATAACAAAATACATGTGTAACTTTACCTTAACTTCATAATATCTTGTGGTGTATGTTAAATCGGTAATTAATCCAAGCTCCACATTTAGTGCTTTTATTGCACTAATTAAGTCTTTTGGTGTAAACTTCTGGGTTGGACTAAGTCTCTGATTAACTACCTATAATGAAAAATGAACAATAAGGTTACAAAATACAGATAAAATGTAAATTAATAACAGAATAAACAAGGAAGAAAAAAAAATAAGAAGGTAAAAAGAATCAGTGAAAACTTTCATAGCTTTAAAAACATTGGCAAAACTTTTAACTAATTAGAGCTGTGAGATGAGCCTAAACACACTTACATCCTTTGCTTCAGTGATTTCCTGTCTAGGAAATTATCCTAAGGCAATTATAAGAGACATGGGGGGAAAAGAGATTGGGTATAAGGACATTCACTGCGCCAGTATTTATAATGGTAAAAACACTTTGTACAAAGGGGTCCAAAACAAAGGATTACAAGTAAATGCTGCAATTTATGAAGTTTTGAAGAGCTTTAGAAAAATAATCTGCTATTATCTCTCCTCAGAATAATTAAAAGAAATTGTGAATTCCTGGTTATTTCCTTGAAGCATGTTCAGTTTGCAAGATATCTAAGGGCTTTCTGGGTCCCCTAAACTGATGGGTGAAGAACTTGCACTGAAGCCTTACCCTCAGGGGCTGCATGAGATCTCCACAGATACATAAAACACACATACTGTATGTCCATAAAATATCTTATAACTCACAGAGTGGTGCTGTCCAACACAAATATCACACAAGCCACCTATGTAATTTAAAATTTTCTAGTAGCCATATTAAAAAAGTAAAAAAGAAACAGATGAAACTAATTTTAACATTTTAACTCAATATATCTAAAATATTATTTCAACATGAAATTAAAAAATTGTTGAGAATTTTATTTTTTACTAAGCCTTCAATATCTGGTGTATATTTTACACTTAGATCACATCTCAGTTTGGATTAGCCACATTTCAAGTCTCAATAGCCACATGTGGTTAGTGGCTACCATACTGGAAAGCACAGTCTTAGAGTATTCCACATCTCCTCCAAAGAGTCTCAAGGCCTACAGCCACTGGTTCTGGAAGTACAACAAAGAGGAGCTAATTAAAACTTTCTACGTTAGCTGGTTTAGTTTAGAATCTACGGGAGGACTTTCCTAAGAAACCTCTTCAGGCTGTGTTCATCTTCAGAAATTCAGGAAGTGCCTCATTCAACTAATATTAATGGGTTTGATTCTAATAAAATTCTTCCCAATTAGCAAAAATCAAATTTGCTCTAGTTGACATCCCTAACTTTCTATATGAGGATATCATCTCCTTCATAATTAAAATAAAAAGTTTAAATAGGTTTGATGTCTTGTGACAGCCCTCCTTCCCTCTTGTCTCCCTAAATTTCCAGCAGGAGAGGCAGCTGTGGTATCATGAGGTGAACGCTGGAGAGTCATAAGAAGTGAGTACAAGTCTTAGTTCCATTATTACCTTGTTGTGTGACCTCAGAGAAGTCACTAAAGCCCTCTGGGCCCTGGGTTATGTATCTTTAAAATAAGGTGAATTGACTCTATCAGTGATTCCCAACCTAGCTACTCACCATAATCAACAGAAGGAACTTAAAAAAAACCAAAAGAGTGGGGCCATTAACTCAGGGCCAATCTTCCTCAAGCAAAAAGAGGAAGATGGGCAACAGATCTTAGCTCAGGACCAATCTTCCTCACCAAAAAACCCCCAAAAAACAAAAGTTTCTAGACACCACCATGAGCTACTGAAACAGTTCTCTGGGGGGTGGAGTCCAGGAACCATTTTTAAGCTGACCTAGTGATTCAGAGGCAGCCAGAGAAGGTAGTCTCAGACTAGTATTTGGAAACCACTGTACTGATTTACCCTTTTATGCACCTTAGCTCTAAAATTAGCTATGTATAGAAGTATGTATGATAATTTCCTCTTTCAAACATCCTAATCTGAAGTCCGAAGGCTGAATTAGACAAAGAAAATCATATTCACTTTCTATTAGTTTGAGGCATTTAGAATAGACATCTAAAATGAAGCGAGCCTTATTCTTATTCTCTATGTGTTAGCCTCATTCTGCTTCCAAAGATTTGAATGATCTTTAATTCAGTAACTAAATAGAAGATCAGAAGTTAAACTAGTTGCAAATAAATGTAGCTGCAAATAAATACATAAAGCAGATATTTCACTCATGAATTACCAAGACCTGGTTATATACTCCCTGAGAGTGTTCTGCAAGCCCTTCCTTCACCTTTCTTTACACTATCTTCCTCTCGCCTCTACCTTATGAATAAGTTACTTGGGAATACACTTCCCTTATAGTTACCCAAATTAGCTGATTTGCAATTTGAACTTCTTTGCTCCAAAGGAATAGAAAAAACCCTCTATATCTGCTCAAAGCTGATCAACCAAATCATCTGTTCTCTTTCCCCAAAATGTCCAGAACTTAAAAGGACCTGCAGAACATGAGGAAGTACGCTTCTGACGACTATTAATCTGACTTTAGGTGAAGGTAGGTACCATTTATAGAAAGCTTAATGGCCAATCACAAAATAATCCTGTCTAGAGATACAATCAAGGTCATTAGCTATACTAAGAAGGAAGGGGGAAAAACCCTGAGAAACAGGTCAAAGTCTTGGATCCTGTTGCTGTAGCTGACCCTGTCAGTGCCTTGCCCATTCCCCTTAGCATGTTCCAGGCATGTTGCAGCATCCTACACAAAGCACCCGGGACTATCTACCTGAGGGCTTTCTCTGGACTGTGCATGCACAGGGTAGGACAGAGAAGTTTTAATGCCTGCAAGAAAAGCCCTCAGTCAAAGATAGATGACAATATGAGGATAAATACCCTAACTTCCTCATCCCTTGAGTTGGATATCTCTGAAGTGTATTCTAAACTATCTGAGTCCCGTAGAGATATTGAGCTTGTCCAAAGTGATAACCTGAGACAACACATCCTTTACTGGCTTCCTTCACAGTCCTGTTTCACGCATGCCATCATTCCCTCACTGGTGCTTCCTGAGATCACCTCCCTAATAAACCACTTGAATTCAAATGCTTGTCTCAGGGTCTGCTTGGGGGGAACCCAAATTAAGACCACTTATAAAATTAGAATCCAAAATACAGGTTGGTCTACAGTGAGAGTTACAGTTAAAACACATACATTCACACAAGGGAAGTCACAGAATGCATACTATTGGGACAGCAGCAAAGATCCTTGTGATTAAGGTCAGAGGCTTAGAAATCACCAGATCAACATGGGATTGAGTCCCAGTTCTATCACTATTAGCTATATAATTTGGACAAGTTACTTTCCTCTCTAAGCTTCAGTTTCAATATCTTAGACTTCATCATAGAACTGTTGTGAGGATTATTAGCTATATAATTAGCTATAGCTAATAATCCACTATTAGCTATATAATTTGGACAAGTTACTTTCCTCTCTAAGCTTCAGTTTCAACATCTTATACTTACATCATAGAACTGTTGTGAGGATTAAATGGGATAAATGCACAAATGTCTAATACAGGATCCAGTGCCTATTAACCTATACATAAATGGCAGGTAAGTGTTTTCTTACATCGAAGTGGAGAAGTGGAAGTCTGCTTCATTAATGAGCTACACTGACTGAACTATAGGCATCTGGAAAGGACTGCTTAGAGGGCACACATAAGATACAGGCTAAAAAGTGGAGAGATGTAACTCCTTGTCACCAAGGACTTCAAACATTTCAAGAAGGGACTATCCTGCTTTGCTCCACTGGGTTTTTTTTTTTTTTTTTGAGGAAGATTAGCCCTGACCTAACATCTACCACCAATCCTCCTCTTTTTGCTGAGGAAGACTGGCCCTGAGCTAACATCTGTGTCTATCTTCCTCCACTTTATGTGTGGGACACCTGCCACAGCATGGCTTGACAAGCAGTGTGTAGATCTGCACCCGGGATCCAGACTGGCAAACCCTGGGCCGCTAAAGCAGAACGCATGAACTTAACCGCTGCGCCACCAGGCTGGCCCCTCCACTGGAATTTTTGCATCAAATCCAATTTGAAATAAAGTATTAACCATGAATTGAAAATAATTTTGTAGTAGAGTTCTCACTAAAGTAATCTGGCAGGATTTTTTTCAATCAAATAGTAATCAGAATTAATCCAAGATTCTTACAGTATAATTACAACATTAGAGTTAGGAGGGATCTTGGAATTGAGGCTCTCAAAGATTCAATTACTTGTCCAATGTCACAGGCTAAATGGCTGTCAAGATTTTAACCCAGAAATTTTCATCTTTATCCAGCTCATGATACCAGGCTGCCTTGTTTGATTAAATACTCATTTTTCTCCTAGATATGAAGGTTCTAAGTTTCCATGTTTATATTAAACAAAGAAGAATAAAGAATTTTTAAAATGTTATCAAATGTCATACATGGATTACCTGGTGGTAAATATATAATTTTGGTCAGTGTCTATAAACTTAGCAGCATGCTCCTAGACTGTATCTGTTAGTGCTCTCCATGGTGTGTGCTGATGGTACAACGGGTTTGATATTTGTATTACATGGTCAATAAGACAAAACTGCAGTTAGCATAATGTACTACAAAGCCAAATATAAATTTTAAAAATTAATTCAATTTGGCAATAAAAAGAAAGAAACTACTAGTACATGCTGCAACATAGATGAACCTTGAAGACATGCTAAGTGAAAGAAGCTAGTCACAAAAGGCCACATATTGTATGATTGCAATTATATGAAATGTCCAGAATTGGCAAATCTACAAAGACAGAAAGTAGATTAGTGGTTGTAAGGGGTCGGGTGAGGGAAAAATAAAGAGTGACTGCTAATAGGTACAAGGCTTCTTTTTGAGATGATAAAAATAATCTGGAATTAGTAGTGATGATTACATAACTATGAATATACTGAAAACCACTGAATACTGTAAACTGTATACTTTAAAAGGGTGGGTTTTACAGTACAGGAATTCTCTCTCAGCGTGTAACAAACGTAACCTAAAGACCACTGGAAAAAAAAATCCGAGTTAAATCAGGAGGCAAGTATAAAAGATTCTGAACTGTGTGTTCATATTCCTAACGTCTGAGAAAGTAAGAGAAACTAAAGCTGCCATGGTTCTGAGGCCATATAAAACATGGCATGGGTTTCACGTATCTTTTACTTTTTAGGAAATGCTATACAAAGGATTTGACAAATTAATAAAAGAATGCCAATTTTTTTATGTGGGGACGGTACTAAAACCAACTTTATTTTTGGATTATAACTTTTAAATAGGTAGCATACTATAAAAAACAAAAATAACATTAGGATTAATTAACGAGATCTTCTCTCAAAACAGTATTTAATCTTGTTAAATCTGTTTTCAATAAAATAAGTTTAACGGTTAAAAAATTAATTCAACTTGGCAATAAAAAGAAACTAAATATGATACATGCTACAACATGGATGAACCTTGAAAACATTATGCTGAAGAATCCAGTCACAAAAGACACATATTGTGTCATTCCTTTTGTATGAAATGTCCAGAACAGTCAAATCTATGAAGAGAGAAAGCAGATTGGTGGTTGCCTAGGGTGGAGGGTGAGAGTGAGGGAGAAAGAAGAGTGACTGCTACTGGGCATGGGTTTCTATTTCTGGGAAGGGGATGATAAAAATGTTCTAAAATTGTGGTGACAGCTGCACAACTCCACGAATATACTAAAAACCATTGAAATGTATATTTCAAATAGGTGAATTTTATGTTATGTGAATTATATATCAATAAAGCTGTTATTAAAAAATTTTCAAAACCACTCTTATACAAGCATGAACAATTAATAACTATATGTGTGAAAAAGTTTACTGTTAATCTCCATAACGTCAAACATTTGCTTGAAACTTACATTCACGTTTTTACACAGAAAAGCATAACACTAAGTAAACGTGGATCACATTAGTCTCAATTCTTCTCATTATGAGACAGATAAGAAAATACTATACATACTCCCTTTAAAGGAACTTTAAAAGCAATAAATTGGGTTCCAGGTAGAGGATGTCCAATGGCGTCACAGTCTTCCACCTGTAACAAAAGTAAACAACTACAATTATAACTAAAATATTTTAATGACTCAAGAAGGTAAACAAAAAAGCCATTTTTAAATAAATAGAGCCTAATTTGTTGGTTTGTTGCTTTCTTAGTGCTATCATACATGAAATTTTAATTTACTGCTTCCTCTCTCTCAAAAAAAAACCCAACAATTTAAGGTTTTACATATACATAGCACTTCTACAGTAAATAAGGGAGCACCCATTCCTAATATAAATTTTCAACACACAAAACAATATTTTCTTGTGCAACAGTAAGAGAAGGAAAATAGTTAATGAATTTTACATCATTGTCACTATTAATATATTAAATAAAGAGTGGTAATAGATATTAAATGTGGGAACAATAAGAGTAAAATATGAAAAACTACAATGTTTTAATAAATGGTTAGGAAACAAAATCATTTACTCAACATGATTATTTTAGAGATGTTTTAATTTCTGACTAATCTTGGTTAAAGAACTATAGTTCATTAACTTTAAACATCTTTGTTTACCTATGATGACTTATCATGAATAACAAAGAGAAATCTGGTATCAAAAATCATTCTTTGTCATATAAAAAATTATTCCCTAAGTTATGTTTGATAAATTCCAATTATAACATAGATTTCTTAAATAAGCACTTTTAATTCCCTACTTCTCCAGCTTCACTTTTGCACCATGCTTCCCTTTTCCAGGCTCTGGCTTCATTCTATTTCTTTTATTCAGCCCTTCCAATGCTTTCTGCTATTCCTTCTACCCACCATCCACCCCATTTCACCCCCTCAATCACCCTCAGAATTTCAGTTTAAATATCAGTTTTCAGGAAAGCCTTTGACATCCATCCACCTACTCCCACTAGACACACCTTTCACCTTCCTTATGGCACTTAACAGTCTGTAATTACACACATAATTATGTGGTTTTTTGACAAACAGTGGTTTCTCTCTCTATCATAAACTCTGTGAGAGTGACTGTCTGTCTTTCCTCACTCAGTACAGTGCCTACGACACAGCAGATGCTCTATAAATATTAAATAAATTTGGCTTTATAAAATTACTATTTAATGTACTGAAGTGCTTACTTCAATCAATATTAAAAAAGTAATTTATGTATTATTTGTATATATTTTATTTATAGGTAAAAAACAATCTCATCATAATCATAAAAACCAACATTTAAGACTCTCAGAGTCAAATGTCACCTAGATACTGTCATTAAGCAAAATCATTGATTCATTGCTTTGTATCCTCCTCTAATTCTTATGAAACTTAGTTCTCTATCATTCATTTAGCAATTTATCACAATACTGTATTGGATTTTTAGCTAAATTTTATCACATCGTTCCTCTGCTTAAAATCTTTCAATGGTTTTCTTCGGTCTATGCAAGACACACAAGACCTCTCTGACAATCTGGCTTTTCTGACCCACCTGAGGTCATTTTCCCATGCTGAGCAACTTGTCCCATTCTAAATATGTCATGTTTTCTCTTGCTTCTGATCCTCTGCATACCCCTTCTTTCAGGATAGAACTTCCCCATTTCCCCCTGGCCTACCTCTTCTCCAAGTTAACTTCATTGGTTTGTGACACTTTCCCTCATGAACTACATGTCATCCCTCCAGAACCATCAACACTTCTAGAACAATCAAAAAGGTAAGGTTGTGGCCTTTTGGGGGTTTTTTTTGTTTTGCATTTTTTAAACAAGCAATTGGCCTGCAATATTATCCTGAGTCCTGATACCCTACACCTCACATACCTATGTCAAAAGTTAGTATAATAAGAAAGATAAAGAAATATCTAACTTCACATTTGGTACTTGGTGGGAAAATTTTTAAAAAGAACATACACTTGATATGTTAAGTTTTAGACTATGATATATTCAAGTTTAAGAAATTCCTCTTTTAAATAGACATTATCCAGTCTGAAGAACAGAAAGCAAAAGAATGAAGAAAAATTAACAGAGATTCAGAAAGCTGTGGGACACCATCAAGTTCACTAACATATATGTAATGTGACTCCCAGAAAGAGAAGAGAGGAATAAAGAGCTGGACAAAAATATTTGAAGAAATAATGGCATAAAACTTATCAAATGTGATGAAAACCTTCAACTAAACACCTGAGAAGCTTACTTAACTACAAATAGGCTCAACTCAAAGAGATATACACCAAGACACATAGTCAGACTGTTGAAAAACAAAGATGAAGGAAAAACCTTGAAAACAACAAGAGAAAACAACACATCACATATAAGGGAATCTCAATAAGATTAACAACTAACTTCCCATCAGGAATAACGAAGGTCAGAAGGCAGCGAATGACATTCAAATGCAGAAAGGAAAACTACCATCAACCAAGAATTCTATATCCAGCAAAACTATCTTTCAGAACGAGTGATTACTATGTTCCAGCAGTCCTTTCCTTTGCAAGAATAGAAATTAGATTTTGATAATTTATAAGAATTGAAAAACACAGTTTCTCAAGTTTTTAAATACAACTGAAATGCCACCAAAATCCAATAACAAAGCAATAATGTTGAAATAGGTTTCTTTCTCTTTAGAAATTAGAAAATGACTTCTATCAAAAGTCATTATAAACAAAAGGCCCATTTTTGCCTTTAAATAACTAATTCTGATAATTTTACTTGTGACATATAAGATAATTTCTTTGATGGTATTCTTCCCTGTGGAATGAGATGCTCTTCAATACTTATGACATTTATCCTTTTCTCAACAGTACATCTAATTCCACTATCATAAATGGCATTCCTTTGTGACTATGATAATTCCACAAACATGTTCATCTTTGGTTTTGACACCCAGCAGAGAGCTATTCCTCAAGCATTAACAATACAAGGAAGTATGGAAGTAATACGGAAGAAATTTTAGACTGTTCTGTCCTAAAAAAGTCCCCTTTGAGTTCTTCCTCTCTGAACAGCCATTTCTATTAACTCAATGAATCATATAATTCCACAAGCTATTATATGTCTTAATCTCTAAATTTTTTTCTGATGTCTTATCCCTACAACAAATACTCTAAGCTCCTTTAAGACAGAAAGAATTTATGCTTCCTTTATATCCCCAAAGAGCACTTGGCATGGCAGTATGCATACAGTATATTCAATAAACTTTTCAGTTTACAGAAGACACATTAAGATGTGGGCATAAAAACACCAACAGAGGGCTGCCTCAGTGGCATAGTGATTAAGTTTACAGGCTCCGCCACCAGTTCGGACCCTGGGCACAGACCCACGCACCACTTATCAAGCCACACTGTGGCAGGTGTCTCACATATAAAATAGAGGAAGATGGGCACAGACATTAGCTCAGGACCAATCTTCCTCAGCAAAAAGAGGATTGGTGGCAGGTGTTAGCTTAGGGCTAATCTTCCTCAAAAAAAAAAACACCAAAAACAAATATTTCCCTGAGCCATAAACCAAACTAAAAACCAAGTAGCAATATCTTACTTGCTTGAAACAGTGTCTATACCACATACCAAACAAATAAGCAATCAAACAAATAAATGCAAAGTATAAATAAGTGAGGTAATTTCACTAATGCTGATTAGCCATCTCCGGAACCAGAGCTCAACCACATTCTGGTGACAATTGAAAAGTAGTTAGAAGTAATAACAATTTACATTCCCAGACTTTCACTTCTCTCAGAAGCTTTCATGGATATCATCTCATTTATTTCTCATATGGCACTATATGAGATAGTGTATTTTTTAGGGAGGTATTATTTATCCCCACTTGAGAGATGGAAAAAATGAGGCCAAGATTGATTGGAATTGCCTAGTATCACACCAAATTAATGGTAAAGTCAAGACTTGAATCTCGGTCCTGTCACTCCTCTTCTAAGGCACATTCTATATCTGGGGCAAAAGAGGTAGAAAAGTGTAGGAAACTCTTTGTTCAGGAAGGAAGGGGGGATTCACCCTTGAACTTTTAGCTTTTTAGAGAGAGCAATATACTCTCCAAGCAATGAGAAGGAACTAAAAAAGATGAAGCATCCACCCCAGGGTGGAAATTTAAGCTTTTTAGAGTTTCTTCCTGATTCCTGAGCTATTTTCTTAGAATACTGTGCCTGATTCTATTTTTTAAAAATCCCCCACATCACAACCTTATCACAGATGCCTATGAAAATAAAATTTGCTTAGCATTTGCATTTGTAAAGGACACATATTTTTAGATAAATTGTTACCTACCCTGCTAGGTCCTCATTACATTCTCATTCTCTGATTAAATGAATACATATTTGTTCCTATTCTATAGAAAAGGAAACTAAAGCAAATTATTATAAAATTATTCACCCAAAGTTATACACCTCAGTAGCTGGAGAGGTAAGACTAGGATAGAATCCAAAGTACTCCCATTTCAATGGTTTCTAACCTTCTAAAGTGTCTTTAATACAAACATTTAAAAATGTCTTAATCCTTCTATACTGTAGGAGCAGCTATACTTTTAAAAGACGATTACAACTACGATTTCTTTTTTCTAAAGTATTTTACCCAAATCACCCATAACTTAGCATATAAATAAATCAATTTTTCATCTAAACAAATATTGGGTCACTGGTAGCAAGGGATGTTTTCTAAGAAGGCAGAGGATTATCAGGAAAATTAAAATCAGCCTTCAAGTCAAGACTTTACCTGCCAAGTTTTGAATCCCTCTTGAAAACCTGTACATTTTTAGTCTGTACCACCTCCTTGGCTAAAATGTTCCATGAATTTTCTACTCACTGGACAAAGGAGTAGGTGGAGAAAGAGAAGGCTGGTTCACAGAAAAGGAAGAGAGGCTGCAATGACAGAGTTACAAAACAACTGACACATTGGAGGAGGATGGGTAGTGAAATTCAGTGATTAGAGCACAGGAAAGTGGTGTGAGATCAAAAGCAAAGGTCTTTTGGGACCCATCCCTTTGCTTAAACCCTGCAATCTCTTAGTTAACCTTAGTAATTGTAACAACTTTCTATCGATCTCCTTTTCGTTCTTACC